AGCGGATACTTTTACACATTTTCACCTCTCCTTTTAATATACATTCGCATCTTAACTACAGACTTTAAAGAAAACATTTGACAATGCACGCTCACTCTATGCAGCTTTAGTTTTACCATGAAACCTACGGATCGGAAGACTGTATTGCCAGAGGTCACATCTTCGTCCACGAATCTGGATCACGGAGTCTCATCCCTTAAGCTGGTTGTTAAGTATATTCGTCTGAACACCACAGAAGCAATTACACACTGGTCGTGAAACAAAAGCAGTTGTTCGTCAGAATCCGAACAAAATGCCGGATAAGTGTAAACCGTGTAATTCAAAAGCCGTGCTGCCGTAGAAATGCCATAAATTTGATGGATTGGATACATACTCCCATTCTAACTGAGGCCTTTCGGAGTTCCATATCCAGCAAATCACTCGGAATTCGGACAAACTCAGCTTCTTCGTGCTACCAAATGCCACTCTTGTGTGCAAAAATAAGCCTTACGGATATCGAAAACCAGCTTGCCGGTCAACAAACCACGAACATATCCCGTTTATGTACGACTTGACATTTACCTAGTGACCCTGAACATTTCCTTGTTGTAAATTACGCAACAGACCATCAAGAGGCGAACTTTCCTCCGTCCTTCTTAATTTATTTCTCTCAATAGGTATGGCGTTGCCCCATATTGTGTTGCTTACTTGCCTAAGAACCACGGACGTAAACCTGAAATTGATTGCTAGGTCATCACTCATAATCAAGCTAGAAGCGGACTGTCGTTCTCGTCCTTTTGGTAAACTATCTGTCTGAATACTGTGATTTCACTCGCTTCGTTCTGAATTTAAACTTTCCGTACACTGAACAATCTTTTGGTATTCATGAAATTGTTACACTGTTGCAAAAAAGTGTATATTTTCTTCTTACATTTGTCCTCATTACAGAAAAATTAGTCGGCAGAGCTTCGGTAAATTCAACGCACCAAACAATGTTTTTATTCTGTCGGACAGGCCTCTGACACTTGTACTCATTGGTGTATGATCCATTAACTTTAGATTTCTGATCAAGATTCTGGTGAACTCTCTTTATCTCTCTCTTGTGAAGAAACTACGCCATCCTGGTTTCTCAAGCCTCCAAAATATTGAGAATACTCTCTAATCAGTGATCACAGTATCATGCTTTCGTGTGAATTGGCACCGTCTGTACAGCCCTGATGGATTAAGGAGCCGCTTACGTTATTGTAACCGAGTGACAAACACACAAAGACAGCTAACGTTGAGGAATTTAGAATAAGATGAACAAAATTTCATAAAACTCACTTTTGGTCCGGGAAAACCTTGGTCACCTCGTGAACCCTGGAAATTCAAAACATGATGAATAAGCAAAATACGCACTCATTTGCACACCAATTCACTTTTCATAGGAGATACCTGAATCTCAGCTGAATCTCTCTTTATGTTCTTCTTCAGTTACCCTATGAGTGGTGTGATATATCCATCCAATGATGAATTAGTCTCCAGTACAGTACAGCACAGTTTCCTGAAGTGTGTGAGAACCACGTTTATCTACGTAACTCCCATGTGGTCAAGTTGAAGTTCCATATTGACTCAGCTTCTTCACTACTGGCCGGGAAACGATCAGACTTCTCATTGTGTTACCACTTCATTCACCATTCACAACTTACTCCGCTACTGTCCTTGATACTTACCCGTTCTTCACTACCAAACATATCGAACAATAACTATTCGTGGTTATCTCTAATTAGGATATCTCAGACGAGAGTCTGAGAGTGAGTGAGTCCAATTGACTCACTATCACGGACTGTTTAGTTACACTACGTGTGAGATTTCAGCAGTCGCGAAGTACGCAGAACAGGGTCATCACGATTTCCTGGTTAAACACCTTCTTTAGGCAAGTAGGCGTTTGGTCTTGATCATATATGGGTGGCATTTAATGTGCGTACAATCCATCTGGATTAACCACCAAATACGTGGCATTATGCAGTAAATATATTTAGATTTCTCACCTACATATATACTCCATAGTTACATAGCATAGACTGGGTAATGGTAAGTGTGTACGACCACTCTATCTGCTTCACCGCTTTCTTTCTGACAGTGGTAAAAATTTCAACACATGATCTGAATAGGCTAAGTCTTTCCCAAGGTAAGTTTAGAGAGACATAGGTGGTGCTAGAAGACAGTGAAACCCACTGGTTGTCCAACGACTGCAGGGCCGGGATCACCAGGATCGCCTCTTGGACCATCATCACCAGGCGGACCTCGTTCCCCAGGGGCTCCAGATAATCCTGGATCACCTGGGGCTCCAGAATCTCCCTGTAGCAAAGAAGATTCAGAGAAAAACGCATGCGTCAGGATATCATAACGACTGATCATCGCCTAACAAAAATGAGCAACGCTTTTATTATTTTGTCTGAACCCATTGGCACTGTTCCCTGTAACCGAACTTCGAAATCAAGTGTGAAAAAATGAGGCTACTGTTTAAAAGTAGTTCTGAAAGCCCAAATCCAAATCTTGATCAAATCAACCTATATGATGACAAAAGGTAAACCTAGTGACTTAGGAACGTGGCTCAACCGAAGACAGCCCCAGAACTAAGTTCTGGGGCCGATACATATACATAGTTCTACACTTGAATCTTCTTTGCTCTAAACTTAAATGTCTGCATCTTCAAGGAGGGAATGCGTTCATCGGGCATCATTCGCCTCGAACCTCCATTCTCTTTGAGTGTAATTTCTTTTGGTAACCATCATTCAAAACTAGGGAAGCATAAAAATCCTAGGTAAATTTGAAATTTATCGATTGTACTCACCTTTTGTCCCGGACATCCTGCAAGTCCCTTAGCTCCTTTGTCACCAGGTTCACCACCAACGCCCTTGATAGAAAAGAAGCAATGACAAGTGAATCAAACACACTGTAACTCCGCGTTAGCATCAGAACTTCCAATTTGCCAGTCGCATCTTACGCGGAATAAGTTTTGTATGTCAATATATGTGTCCAGTTTACAGGCAAGACTGAATGTGAAGCAAGCCAGAGGCGGTCAAACAAACAGCGAAGTGTGAAGGCCATTACCAGCAAACTCAGCCGCGCTGGTCATTGCCGTTTTCCTGGATGGGGACCTCAAGACGGGCCACATCAGTGGCTAGAGATATCGTCAGACATGGCCCAGTCGCGCTTTCAATGGCGTTCATGCATCCAAACTATTGGCTTCAATGCATAACTCCCTACCCAATCCCTCCACTTGACAACCCACTGACAATGCTGGATTTATGCACCAATTTATCAGCTCCCGCCTCCAATGCGCAGCTACCTACCCCCCCCCCAATTCATCGGTGAACGAAACTGCGGCAGCTGCAACCACTGTACGAAGAGTACGCGGTTATCACAGCTGACAATGATGATGATGATGAATTAGAGCATACTGACTCTGGTGGTCATCGCCTTTTCAGCACCACCGTATATTAGATAATGTTGCAATCGGCGGCACAGTTGTTACACTGTCCCGTGATATAACAAATAAATCGAATTTCAAACTTACACAAGCATGTGGACTAAAATTCAAGTCCCATAAACCAGGAAGATGAGATGGATAGGAGCAGCCTGTAAGAAAACTGACGGGTTTAGTTCACAGTGAAATCTATCAGCCTCTCTGCCAAACATAAGTAAGCAATCTAGCCCTCAACCTGGAGAGATAAGTTATCTCTGGCTTCTTGTAGAGCAGAGACAGCTGAGCTCTGGAACCAGAGTTCGGTCTCGAAGTCTTGAGCGATTCCTCTCACCGGGTGTTGGAATGACAGCTCGGTGGACTTCTGGTAATAACGAGTGTCACAGAGTGTGGTGGAGCTGATTCCACTCGGTTGGTGGCTAGCACGTTTTTGCAGGCGGCTCCACAATCCGTTCGGCTTACAAATACGACGCCTAGTCCCATTATGCGCAACACAAGACGGAGCCACCATACCTGAGTATATGAATTTCTGAGCCACATTCCTCGCTGGCAAATTCACTAATGAAACTCGCAACGTGGTCCACACCAATCTTAAAAAGTAACATTTCTAGATACATGGTTATTGACTGAAACCTTTTGCGATCATGTCTTCCGGATACACTACACATTTTCCCTCTGGTCATTTTTGAGAAATAAGGTTCATTTATGTTCATGTATATATCAGAAAGACAGTTAATTCAGTCATTCATTTTCAAGACCAAGCTGTCACAGTGACACCAGCTAATCATTTGCATGAATACTACAAAACTCGCTATCTGCGGATGGTTCCGTGGACATCAACAGACAGAAAAGAGACTTACGTGTTCTCCGTGAAGTCCAGGAGGGCCAAAATCTCCCGGTATACCCTGTTAAATATTGAAAAAGGACGGCGTTTTCAGACGATGTGTAGAATCAAATTAAAAGCACTGCAAAAAAAACCTGTAAATTTCAGGGTCCTTCAGAACAAAATCTCTGTTATTACTCCTATCGGTAATATGGTTATTGTTGCAGGAGAGGAAAACAGAATAAACCTCACAAGAATCCATCGTGTTGGTGGAGCTTATTTCCCGGGGTCATGGAGGCCAGACTCAAGAATCATACAATAAAACCTTATAATTTACCCTGACTTTATGTGGCAACCATATTGCATAGACTCCGTCTTCTTCCCCGATCACGTTAAGTAAACGGACTCGCCAGCCTAAGAAACCGAATCTCGTACCCTTATATCAGGAAGGTCAGCTTCCTGAAATCAACCAGTGTGTACCCGAAATCTACCGAGACTATCAGCTCCGCTAGATGTTGACCAGACAGACAACGCCCCCTCAATATGCAGCGCTTTAAAGCCCTGTATCAAACCCAGGCATTGAGAATCGGCGTTGATCAAGGTCATACAACGCCTCCTCAATATGCAGCGCATCGCAGCCTTGTGCCAAAGCCAGACCGTGTGCGTCAGCATTGGACCAGGTTCAGTGTCCATCCAATAAATCGCTTGGGACCGCTGTACTTTTGCACTTGCACACACGCTCTCGCACTCGGTTGTCCGGACTATAGCTGGTGCGTCCCCTTCTGTGAGTCTTTTTTCGGGCGCTAAGCCCTGGAGCGGGTCAGCAGCAGATACCGCAGATTGGCGAATCAGCAGATATAACACCTTATCGTTAAATGTGTTCTACGTAAAGTCAGGGCCACCTTCCTCATTTCCACTGGTTGAATCGATTCCAATTCTAAAATTGGTTCCCACGGTTTGTTTACCTCCGTAAGCTGAACTAACGGCCGGTTATCTCATCGCACCCGGTTATTCTTAGTACACTGTTATCAGGTTACACCAAAGTAAGAAATTCAGTATTCCCATGCAAAAAATATTGTACACCTTGACCGATAGACTGGAGAACCGTTAAAGTTATCGCCCTGCATTCTAGCTCAGCTAATGAAAAACACTGTTGGAAGTATGCCAATACAACAGAGTCGTTTGTCAGAAGTAAGTTATAAGCGATTGGCAGTAAACTACAATGAAACAACAGCAAGCCTCATCGACATCACTGGTGGATTTACTTGCATAGTTCTAATTCAGCCGGAAAAGGGAAACGGGCTATGGAAGATTTTAAGGATAGACTAGAAGACCTCGAATAAGGCATGTGTTAGAAAGCATGCTTTGAGCGTCCATCGGGAATTGGCAGCAGCGTCGGTTAGAACATCGTGAATAGCGACAGCATTGTATCAGTCAAATTACCAGCAGCCCATCAGTAATTAAAATACGGTGAAACTGGCGGGTAAAGACGAGTGCAGCCAGTTTAAACAAGCACTAGTTAGTGAGTCAGACCTTCATGAGTGGTGAAGGAAAGGTGATCGATGATAAATAGCAATGACAGTAAAAAGATGCTACCAACGACTATTTACTAGCGGCGGTTTACAAAAGTTCGACAACAGCGATAAAGAACTTGGATTTCTGACGTGTCTTTGGTGGAATTTCCAGGTGAACGACCGAGAATTCGTGAGGTCCTTCGATAGCCAAATCACCTCATATAGTGTCACCCTCATCAAGAAGAAACAAGTCAAGAATAAACAGACTTTGGATTTTCGGGTATGAAAAAAACAGACAGACAGTATCCTTTCGATCACGGCGGTTTCTCGAATATTCAAGATCTCCGAGAGGAATCGACTTCAGAAAGCAAAAAATAAACCATGGGAAACCCCAAGTAAGCAAAAACAAACCTCCAGAACAAAACGAGTTACGTCACTTGGGGACTTGACTCCCCACGTCAGTGACAGATGCAACTTGGTAATATACTATTTGTTTAACGTACCGAGAAATTCGGTCGTCTTACTATCGAATTTCTCAACAAAAAAAACTACAAATAATTACACTACCATCCTCCCATAAGCAATTCTTGAAGAACAAGACTTTATACATAGAAATTCATGATAAGGATGACTTCACATCGCTTTTCAACTTGCCTTACTGGGTCAAAAAGATTTTTCAACTACCGGCCATCATGCATCCTTTGCTCGTCACTGGTTCCACACGTTTTTTACACACGGTTTACGCTCGAATGGTGAGTATGGGTATCTCATTGCTTGTGTCTCCAGCAAGTGCATCTCTTGGCTTACAAAAATAACTAGTATTTAATGACTTACTATTTGGTTAAGCATAATATCATATCCGGAACCAGCTTCATATGGCCCTCCTCCTCAATGAGTTCCAGAAAGCAAATAGACAATATCTCAAGAATATCGTTTCTTTTTCGGGGTCGAGAATATTGGTGACAGTCTCATTTCTGTAAAGGACTGTAGGAAGACTGAGGTTCACCTCGATGTGAAATAAGAAAACTGAAGAAGCCAGCAGACCATTACTGCTCACTTTGCTACGCTGCTGACTGCAGTCAGCTGCTCAGGTGCTTCTGCTGAAGTTGCGTTTTACTCTAAGATGGATCCTTAAAAAGTGATGTGCATCACACATTTGGATAGTTAGGTGCAGAAAAATGATATGTAAATGTAGAAACAAATGCTCTTTCCCACATAAGCACACCTACAATGAGGGCATCAAATGAAGAGAGTACAGTGGGGAATTTTGACGGATTTAGTGGTCATTTTCAAAACTTACTCTGTCACCAACTGGCCCGTCTGGACCGTCCTTCCCTGGATCGCCCTTCTGTCCTTTGAAACCTGGAGGCCCGGGTTCTCCTGGATACCCTTTTGGTCCTATTGGTCCGGGAAATCCTCGGGGTCCCGTTTCGCCCTGGAATTCGGTAGTTTAATTCAGTTACACCAGTGGGATTAAGGAAGGTAAAACAAGATGGGACGTCCTATTCATCCAATGATCATGACAGAACCTAGCATGGCTGGATTCAGGTGAATCGACTATTCGCAAATGTAGCGACAGTCTATTCGTTATTTTGCGCTCTGTTAACTCTGTTGCAAACTTATCTTTCTAATGTACTCACCACAAGTGTGTCTCATTGGACCATCTCATTGAAGGTTCTCACAGCCCATTGCACCACCATCTAACTAGATGCTCATGGTCCAAGTTACCCAGCCAATTTCGTGTCATCTTCTCTGAAATAACACCAAACTATCTACTTGCGCGCACTATGCACGCACTACTGTTTATCACGTTAGATTTTCTACATACATATCCTCAAGAGAAAAGAGTTGCCACATTTGCCTGTTTCCCAGGGAGACATTATGTGAGCAAGGAGGGTGAAGACGGAGTCTAGAAATGCTTCATTCTCTGGAGCAAGTAATCCATTGGAGTAATTCGCTATCGATGCGACATCGCCATACGACATCGCTACCCGATCCTTTGTCGACAAAAACGCTTTGTTCGTGTGTTGTACATACCATGGTCCAACTCAACTCCCCTCACACATGCAACTTGTGCTGAACACACAACTACAGCACCCGCGGTACTGAGTAGCTCAAGTCATCCTATTGGTGACCTGAACTAATTGTTCCTTGATAGGTAGCCAATGTCGTCTCACTCGATTTCCTGTCCATTTACACCATACTCATTCAAATATGTTAAATACTGCAATTGTGTGACTTGAAAAGACCTCGCCGGAAACATGTTCGTCAACCCATCTGTGTTCTTATGATAAATGGGAATATTCGGAATTCATAAACTGGGTTAGATACGACAAAAACGGTCTAGCAGTTGTGGACGGGCTAACCGTTAAAAGCACACCAGGGAATCAAAACTTATTCGGGTATTCAACGCTAATGTCTCATAACAGACAACCCAGGAGACACTCTCCGATATTCTTGAAGAAAATTCGTTGTGTGGACCATAAACCTGGACATGGTCATCTTCATTTTTCCTGTTCCGGAAAGCGTTATGGGTTTGATGCGCTTTTCTGAATTGACATTCGAACTCCGGTCTTTAATACCAGACTGTGGCTACCAAGCTAACAGTCCTCCCTCGGAGAACACCAAAATGCATATTAGGCTTATTTGGATTCCATGGGCGGCCAAGTGACTACTCAGAAAGCAGGGTCACCACTTGAGACTATTGAGCTAAGCCTGTGTACGACGGCGATGGTGAGTTAGCATCATAGCTGCTTATTAAAAGACACGTGATATACAGTTCCTTCCAGTCAACTTCAAAAGAGCTTGGATTGTACGGACCCATGTGCCTGACTGTAGGATGACATCTGGAAAACAGCAACGGGTAACCTTGGGGTATTCCGTACTGAGATCCGATAAACGACCCTACAATTCAATCGCCTTTATCCATAATCGGATCTATTCGTTCACCATCAAGTTCCATGAATCTTAGTCACGGGGGAAATTTACTCCGAATATCCACCAACCCAAGGACTATAACTAAGACTTCCTGTATAACTACCCACCCCGGAGCAATACTCATTCCTCCACCATATTTTCCTGAACCCACTTGTTTTGTGAGCTAGGGAAAGTGTCAGTAGACTAAAACGTTCTAATATCCGCCATCCAACATGCGGGCACCCGTCGTAACTTAAGGCTTACAACATCACCGAACACAGAATCCTCAGCCTTGATAGAATTTTGAGCTTTGTCAGGCAATGACGTTTAGTCCAATTAGTCTGACAGGAAGGAGACCGAAATTGAAATCGGCGATTCATCTAGCCTTGAGTCATCCGGTGCTCACTGCCTTATCAACCGGGAGTGAGAGTGTCGGCATAAGTGTTTGCAGTGCTTCCACTGCCGTGGTGGTGGGAACGACGGTGTGGCAACACGAAGCCGCACTAGACGGTCACCGGAAGCGACTCAAACTTTGCACTTTTGTGACCATCTACTCTCGGTCGTGTCAAACCCGGTGGACTTCTCCGAGTGCCTCAAGACCGGGCAAAGCGTGATCGAAATGCAGTGGTGACTAGCCAGTCACCCTAAATGGCCAACCAGCGTCGCAAACTGTGCGTGCTTAGACGAGAATCGGTTCGAGCTCTGTTTCTTCGTTTCACGCAGTGGGCCTCAAACTTTGCTTTAAAAAGAGTTATACGCGTTCTGATTTCATCAGAATACTGAAAATAAAAATAACCGTGAAATTATCAACCTAGAAATCAGTGTTAAATATGGGAATTGCTGAAACCATGTGTTGCACGTGAAATATGCTATCTTTACCATACAAGTTAATAGCTGATTGACCTCGATGCCTTTGGACCGCAATAAACCAATCGTTAGAGGCAAAATGATCACGTATCACCCTGGGTCGCTATACATTCTCAAAAAGAGTATCCTGAAAGCCAATGCATTCAAGGAAAACTCATGACTTTTCTCTGGTTTGCTTCAATATTAATGAATTAAGGATGTGTGCAAGTTCAGCACTAGAATCACCAGGAACTTCTTGCCACACTCCTATCATTGCACTCAGATTAGACCGTACCTCTGAGGGCACCATTCTACGAGGAAGATATCAAGAGCTGTACAGAAAAGCCCGTCCTGAGTGCGCTGTTGTCAGCTGCTGTCCAGTAAATATGTGAATAGCTAAACGCCGGACTCTAAATTAGCTTTTCTAATGGTGGGATAGTCCGTCGGTGGATCTAAAACAATATACCGAATTCCCAGCTCGTGATAATTTTCTTGACGCTATAAAGTTCACTTTCCAAGCGTGTCCTCGAACAAATGTAGTGACATTCGAACATGTTGGAATATCGTACAGCTCTTAATCAAAACCAGGCAACTCTACTCATCCAGTGCAACCTTGAAAAGAGAGAAGTAACACGGTTTTCATTGAGTGTGGGCAAAAACAAGGGATTTCTTACCATAGGCCCCAGCTGGCCTAAACACCGACACATATTGTAGTCACATCGTTCTGAACAGTTAAGATCACGTCGGAATTGCTGGAAGGAGAAAGAGGGAAAATGAGTGTCAGTATGAAAAGAAAGCGCGCAAAATTTGAATAGCACATGATTTATACTTACCGCTGTAGTTTCCCTGACTGTACCAGATAGAAGCAGAAGTGAAATGAAAAGTATGAATGATCTATAATTCATAAGTATGTAACTGATAAGCCGAGCAATCTACATGATCCACGTAGTTACAGGAGTGGGTCCCATCCCCGATCCAAACGGGCTAGGAGCCCCTTTCCGCGGCTTCATTAAAATTGAACTTCAGAAAGACCAGTGAGGTATGGGCTGAAAGGTGGAAAATGATGTGGGTTGAGGGGTAAGGCCTTAAAATTCAAACGCATCTGAAAAACACGGGAGGTTGCCGTAGTCAGCTAACTGTACATGCGAATTTTCAATTGGTATTCCGGTGGTAAACAAGGTACGCATGCGTCATGCTTTGGAGTGTATAGCTTGGTTGACCCTGGTTGACCAAGACTGCAGTGATTTCAAGGCTCACGCTGTCCACATATCTGAAAACGAAGCAAAGCATGAGCCCACTGGTGCACCGTGACCTTTGGACACATCTACACTTGCACAGTGATGGTAACCGAAATTGTTCTCTCTCACTGCTAGTGTATTTTCTAAACGCCAAGCTACTTTCTTGATCGTCAGAAACAGTGAGTTTACTCTGTGAATCTTAGTTCAAATGAAATGAACAGAACAGTAAACCACTCTTTAGTCATATTGGGGTCTACGAGCGTTGCGCTAACCGGAAAGCGACCCGCGAGTTATCTGTTTAATGTACAATGGTAAACCACTCTTTAGTCATATTGGGGTCTACGAGCGTTGCGCTAACCGGAAAGCGACCCGCGAGTTATCTGTTTATGAGTATGTACAATGTACCGTGCCGCAGTCCGTAGGTAAACGGGGCATGACTCAGTTCGGTAATATTCAGGACCACTGCGTGACAATGTCCACCGGCCACTTTGTGGAGAACTTGGAATCGCGCAGGCATCAAGACTGCAGAGGAGTGGTGAGCAGTTAGATTGGAGTCCTCTCAGGATGGAAACCAGACAAGGACTTTCTCCCTAATTCTCTTCATTTCAACTTTCGTTTTTCTGACTTGGATTAGGGTAGTAGTAGTGGCTTACTTAATGCCAGAACGCCAATACTGATCCATCGACAGAGGAACTAACAGACAGCATGAAACAGGACGGGTCCGCGTTTACTGGTGCCATTAGCTACAAGGTAGACGAAGTGTCACTTAAATGATCCCAGGCATTTCATTCTAAACTACCTAGGAAACGCGAAAGCTCGACTGAGGATTCTCAAAAACTAACAGTTTTACCCTCTAGAGGGGTAAAAGTTTGATAGATGAACCAACTGCATTTTGTTAGATCGCTTGGTCTCAAACGGACTTTTCTTAGGTAGATAACCTAATGACACCAGACGCATGTTTTGAGAAGGTTTGATCACACCACCCCAGTGCAGTCGTATTTAGTAATCTAAAGGCATAAAAATAAACTAACCCCTACTAACTGTTGAAGTCAGTTTGCTGAAGCACTTTTGAGAATAGAGGTCTTGGGTCCATATACTGGTCTTCCGTCTCTCGTCTAAATCAAAAATAGACATCGGAGATGTATTGATCTCCTTCGGAAGATCAGGCTTCACCTCCGGGGATGCCTGACTCAGGGGTGCGTTGCTTTCTTTCATGTCATTATATCTAACGAGGCAGGTCTCCTGATCCGACCATATTTCCAGGCTAGATTTGCCCCGGCTGACCTTAATTGTTTCAATTTTAACGTGATCAAAGACCAATAGTTTTTAATTCAGTAAAATCAAACTGAAAATCAAACTGTTAACACCAACGGCGATTTTATTCCAATTTCAACTGGCTAGTGGCGATCCAAGCACCATGTTTAGCGCCCTAGTCTTCTGGTGTGATCGTACCCAAGCACAGCACCACAAAAGTACTTTTAAATGAGAGAAAAAGCACAATTATCGCAGCAAACAAACAGAAAGAAAAGTGAAGTCTAGTATTCAAATATCATTGGTTTGTTTCAGTACGTTTGTGGATCAGAAAAAAAAGAAAAATAAACTAGATAGCATGGAAAGGGAAGTTTATCGCAGTAAAAATATGAAAAACCCTAAAAGTATGCATGTGAAGTAGCCCATTGAACTCTTGCATACGTAAAATCCTAGTGTGCGACAAGTTATTCACAGAAATCTAGGCAGGAATATCCATAATTTGTTACGGTGACTACGTACCGCACCATACTTTACAGAAAGCTTGGGTGTATGCGGCGAGTAGCGCACGCCTTTCTGCGCTTTTGATGGATGAGTTGCAAATTATTAAAAGATTAAAATAGATTTCAAGCATAATTTCAAGTTTGATTGGAATTAACTTCATTTGAAGCTGATAAGACATTTGTTGACTCTTTTACGATGAAATTTCAATGTGGCAGTCTTCTGTGTGGATCGAAATAGGAGGCTACGTCGGTATTTTCATACAAACGCGGCACTTGCTGACATTGCTGATGACTGGTCCCTCGGCAGCCTTCATTGTGAATCCTTGTGGCTTTTCAAACTGCGTCTTACTGTGGTCCAAAGCCCGAAGGTAGTAAACCTTAGCATCGGACCAATAGTGGCATGTCCCCGCGTTATTGTTGCATTCGATCACTGGGGAGTATCGGAACTGTTCCATGCAGCTTCCCGGAGAGGAGAGCTGCTGCCCACCGCCGTGTTTACCGGATGTATGCTGGAATCGAAATGGGAAATAGGCAAAGGATGGGATGACTCTAGCTGAGACGCACTGCCATTGGCTGGGAAACACAAAACCTACTTGGCGGTATAAACTGCCTGTAGTGAGTGGCCGTTTGTAAACCATAAGACGTACTTAGCAGCCCGGCCACAATCTAAAATAGTTATAAATAGATAGGGAGCTCTAAACAAGAGGCCTCATATCTTCATTTGAATGTCGGTCCATGTGTCACTTATGTGGGGATAATACATTGATTCGCATTTACTTAACCAAGGTACGGATGCAAGTGTACAAGCCACCTGCATTGGACCAACGAAATAGTGTCCAAGTTGAACAGGAAATAACGAAACGATTCGGCTAGGTCTTCTCATAACAGGAATGCACTGAGTGTGACGTGCGGAAGGCGATTTCACAGTTCATCTCTTCTAACATGTATATTAACAACCAGCAACGTATAAGCTAAAGGAAGTGTTAGAAAAGTTTATATGGAACTGGCAAGAAGCTGTTTATGAGTGTCTACAGTATATGCGGGAATCGTGTGAGCATTTGTCACAATTTCGACCTGGAAATTTGGAGTGCTGGTTCCAGTTCCACCAAAAAAATACACAAGCCCGAGCCATCGGGGAAACGATAAAAGTATTTGGTACCAAGTTCAAACTTTGCCCAGGTTGAAGATACACACCTTCGCTTCCCACTCTTGTAGGCCTGGAAATGCTACAAACCTCGGAACCAATGAGACGTTTCAGTAGAATGAGCCATATTCAAGTCTGCGAGCGTTATTTCGTCTACAAGCACTTTGGCCTGAGCGGATTTTACGGAAAATTCTCGATCTGTGTGCATTTATGGACCTCTCTTCTGCTTTCTGTATTCAGTGGAGTTAAATGAATTTCAAAGTAATCGGTTCACCTTGAGTTGAAAGTGAAAGCATCAATTGGTCAAACTGTTTGGGAAAGCTCTGGATAACCAATATTGAGGAGAACCGCATACTTGAAAGCCTAGAATGATAAAAACAGTCCAGGGTTCGTAAAAAAAACTTACCAGAATCAGACTGACACCATTCCATAATTCCTTCCACGTATTTGGACACGGCTCCAAGGTATCCGCCTGACTATGGAAGGCAAACACGTGGGTAGGCGCTTCACAAACGACACAACGGGCAATACGATCTGCTGTCTCATTCACTGGAAGGGGCTTTTCCGAACGCGGGACAGAGGTTGCTAACCAATAAGAACGTTCGTGACGCATATTTATCTGGCACATTGAATCGCGCTCGCACTGAGTAAGCGGAAGTGAGCTGAACCGAACCAGACATGAACTGGGTGTGCCTAAAAGATAGGAAAAAGGCAACTTGAAGTGACAACGGAAGTGAGCTATTTTCTGGGCTAAAATATATCGGATAAAGCAACTTTGGCCCGCACGACCCAAATGTTTAGATTCCTCAGCCGCGACGAATTTATATGTAATTAATTTACCTAATAGATCTGGTGTATTCCCACCCAATTCTGTAAGATTTCTAATGGTAAACGGCGTTGATACGTGATCATATTTTGCACAGCATAAAGTCGCCGCCCATCGTCCAGCACAATTCCGAATGGATTTCACTCATAGTTTGACACTTATAAGTGAATACGAACTTGGGAAACCGAAGTGAAAATTCCCATAGGATAACTCTAGTGAATTTGTGTTCGATTACTTTGAAGGTACATCCGGGAAGATGCATTCGAGGACTGTAGACTGATATTTTTCCGCCAGGTCATCACCAGAGACAGCAATAGCACTGCTAGCACTAATGCTTCACTGCTCTACAACCACAAAGTTTGTTTGATCATGTATAAACCCTGAAAGTGAAGAGAAGATAAAAAGAAGAGAAGAGGGGGGGACCTAATTGTGGCCAATTGCAGGCATCCTGGGGCGACTACACCTCCAAGTAATTAATCAGAAAGAAAGAGAGGAGTTGACAGCACCAACATCTCTCTGACATCTACTAGCTGCCATTTCTTATAACGTCTTCAGCCAAGCGTGTGGGGGTCTTGGGGATCCAATCCCAAAAGGTGGATGGCACCAAAGACACCAGGGCTTTGTACAACACAAGAGACACCAATTCATTTTATTTCTCCTCGATTGTCCAAAATTGTGATGGAGCGCAGCAGCCTTAGTTTATCATCGGCTGGGAATACCACTATGACCACTAGGTTTTCCTACATACTACTTACACTTGTACACTAGGCATCCATAAATAAACCACAACCCGGGTATGATCACTTGGCTGATTTAGCCCGAAGAAAACTATAAAACAGATTGATTGGAAGGGGTGTAAGTGAGTGACCTCTCTATTGCACCGGTTGGAACAATCAACTCACCCAAATCCATGCTGACCAGATCATCGACTCCACCGCCCATCACATAACTGTAGCCAGTAAAGACCTTGCTTGTTCCATCTGGGCACTCAGGATCCATCACGTCCGGAGCTTGGTAATGACGTGCAAAAAGCACAGATGTGTAGTTAGTTTGTCCAGGTTCACCTAAAGGACCCTGCACACCTGGAGGGCCGGGTTCACCAACAGAGCCTTTAGGACCAACCTCACCAATATCTCCTTCCTCGCCAACATCGCCTTCCTCACCTCTAGCGCCTTCTGTTAGGCCTGGTTCACCTTTATGCCCTTTTTCACCAATATCTCCCTCTTCACCAACTTCTCCATCTGGGCCAGGATCACCGATTTCGCCCGGTTCCCCAGGATCACCCATTAGATTAGCTTCTCCTTTCTCTCCTTGCACGGACTGCCCTGGTAATCCGATTGGGCCAGGATCCCCGACTTCACCCTGTTCTCCTTTCAATCCCTCGATGCCAGGTTCACCGGGTGGCCCTTCGTCACCTTTCTCACCATCTACGCCATCCATACCAGGCTCGCCATCTGGTCCTATGCTACCTTCTGGTCCAACCTCTCCCTTGGCCCCATCTGGACCGGAATCTCCAGGGGGACCTGTTAGACCTTGATCACCAGGCTCACCAGTTGCCCCACGTTCACCTTTTTCACCAGGTTCACCGTCGATGGCGATTTCACCTGGAATACCAGGGGGTCCTCTCTCTCCAGGCAAACCTAAGGGAAAGATTTATAATAACAGCAGCTCTGATCCAGGAGAAAGAACAGTCATACAAAATTTAGATAACCGGTTGTTCTAATTTAGGGCGTTTCATGCGTTTGTGAACATTGTGAACAACTCAACACACATTATTATACTTATTCGTGTTTCTTCACCAAACGTTTGTAAGCACAAAACTATGAGTTCACTGCTGACCACAAAAGGTTTACTTACACAAACCAGTTGTCATTTCACATTGATGTGGACTGTTCTACGACGGTCGTGTAAGATTGTTAAGCCGAACTTCAGACGGATCCCTCTTTACCGATCGCAGTCAGGTGCCGCTACGGCTGAGAAGTCCATCCCACTCAAGATTGACCAAAAATTCGGGACGCTTGCCGGTTCGGCATCAAGCCGGGATCTGAGTGGTCGAAAGTCTAGACCCAACAGCCAATTATGACTCAGTATTGGCCGAATGCCAGTTTCCAATGCCACATCCAGAACGCGTCAGAATTTCCAGAAAGTTATTGCCGCCTACTCTCTCTCTATATATATGAAGCCCTGTACAAGTGTTCCTGACTTCGTTTTGGGCGTTAATATACCTTCTGTACCTTTGGTGATTGTTTTTGACGTGAACGCTAGCTTGGCAGGCTCAGACCGAGAACTAAGGTGAGAAAAATACTGTTACCACAAAGATTCTCACGAATTATACTTTTACATGATTTCGCTATATTTCAGCCCGTGATCAGGTAGTCACATTAAGTCACCGTCAAACACATGGGGGTTACTTAGCATCATCATCAGTAGGAAGATAGGATTCCCTGTTACTTATAAGAAAAACGATGTTAAAATCGATGTTTCCCATAGAATTTACAAACTGCCTGGACACAACTTTACTTCTTCGGATATAGGACAAACATTTCTCCATGTTGTCTTTTGAATACGACTCACCTCTAATTGAAGTGGCATACAACCGAGGATTGAGGCAACTGCTTACTGTTCAGCGTTACTGTGTTTAATAGCTTCCAGTACGGGACCTTTATCACGAATAATTGCAAATCTAAAGATGATCTAGGCTTGTGGCTAACACCAGAACCATCTAATTCCTGTTTGGATTAGCTCTTGCTTTTTAGGTCCTGGAGAACAACATTCCTTCACTTTAATCGAATTCAATTTCTTGGCACGCTATTATCGATAGGGTAGTCTCCTGACAGGCAAAGACAGCTCAATCCTCAAATGAGTTAGTGTTGAGCATCCTGAAGCTATTTTGGGATTTTCCGTCCATAGAGAAGTACCCCTCATAAACTATTCAGTTACCCATAGAAGCGTCATCCACATTGTTCAGAGCAACCGGAAGCAAGCCGTATATTGCTGTTCATTCACGTCACGAGTGAGACCCGCATTTGGGAGAGCCAATGCGTGATTTCACTGGTTCACAATGGTTTTGGTAGTGGGAGCGGCTTGAAAGTAAAAAACAATTCGCTTAAGGACACACTACAGAAGGAAACGAGCCAAATAACAGAACGGACACAACTTCATTCAACTCGTCGAGAAATTCCCAGCTTATATTTGAGAGCAGGCAAGTCCCGGGAATACATGGCGATATGCATCGTACGTACCACGCGAAGTCTCGACGCCAGTCAAGGATGAAAACTTCTAAAAGTCCCTACATCGTGGTTTACTTATTCCTAACTCCTGACATCCCTTAAAGAACGGCTGTCTCTAGGGCGGAGCAAGTTCCTCTTTTCGTGCTCACATCTCCTTCGGTAGCTTATTGTAATTGTGATAAGATGGCTCATTGGTCAACCCGTGATGACTGAAACGTGAACTTCAGCTGAGCACACGCAACAGTTATCTGTCTAGTTCAGATGTGTGCTGTGCGTCGTTCTTATCCTGGTGATGATTTCTAATAAGAGCCGAATAAACAGCAAAAAACTGACCTTCAAAACCGGGTTCCCCAAGGAAGCCGACGTCTCCTGGTTCACCAGATGGACCAATTCCCGCGGGTCCGGGTAGCCCTTTTGGTCCCAAAGATCCGTCCACACCTTGAAAGAAAGAAATAATTGTATGCGTACTTGGGAAAACTCAGTACTTGATTGATTTAAAACAGAGTCCTTCGTCGAAACCCTCACCACCAAACGGTTACCTGTTAAGTGACTTTCGGTATCAAATCCAATTTCATTTTGACATAACTGAAAGACGGGTGTTGTTTACCTGGATTACCACGTTCTCCGGGTTGTCCTTTCTCTCCCACAGCACCCATTCGTCCTCGTTCACCTTTTCGACCAGGTAAACACTGTTCAGCTGGAGGTCCAGTTTCACCACGTTCACCCCGTATTCCGCGCTCTCCTATCGGACCTGGTTCACCTTTGGGCCCTTGCTCTCCATCCTGACCTTGTGGACCCATTAGGCCTAGAAGCACATAATAGAATTTTTGGGTCAACTATGCATGTTTTATTTTGCCTTCGAGTAAAAGTAAGCTCAAACACAGTCGTGCATGATATCATAATAGCATGTGTTCAATGTGTACAGTATAGTCTGGGTATAGTCTTTGCTCTGTTGGTCAGCATTAAGGCATATACTTTAATGTTGTTCTAGCTGATTCAGCCTGCGGGCTATAAACTGCACATGAGGAACAACGAAACGGTTGGCAGTCATTGATTTGCGTAGTGTCACAGTAAGAGTTCGCGGAAGCAAACATATCGCCGCGTTTCTACCGTCAAACCGTGTTATCAGCATATAAATTGAAGAAATGAGAAGCTCCTTGATACCCAAAAACTGTTGAGCTTTATATGCACTGGTCTCGTTGCATGGATGAAGTGTTGGTTACCACTGAAATCTATCTGAATCATTTCCTAGTACCATTTGGCGAATTTTTCAGGCGTGCATTGTTTATCAGACTGAGCAGGAGGTCGTTTTTTACGTAAGGTTATTTTACGATACCATAAACCGATGGACAAATAGTTTTGTCACGAACGTTTTTTTTTCACTTTATTCCACACGAGGAGCCAGTCGACACATGACCATGTGATGTGACTGAGAGACAAATTACGGTAGATTCCACCGCTCGTGGCCCTCGACCACGAGTGGAAGGGCTGCCAATTTGAATCGGCCTGGAGACTGGTGAGATACGTACTATACTACTGAGTACTGTGAATAAGGAGGAAACAGCAGGAGAGTACCTTCTTTGGAAAATACTCCACCATTTGTGGCTCTTGCTCTGCTGCGAAAAACAACTTTTCCGCCAAAGACGCACCTCATTTGGATCACGAATTCAACCAAATTTCGTCCCGGGTTGTAGCACTTTCAACCGACTGGTTAATGTAAGAACATGGTTGTAACGGCGATAATGTTTGCAAGCCCACGTTTATAGGTTTAATGGTTACGAACTCTTTGTTACTACCCGAGCTGAAGTTATCCGTGCGTAGTACGTTGTTACCGCGTCGTTGTTCAGAGGTGCACAGATGTGAATACCCAACTGACGCAATGCCCATCTACTACGCACTGATAATGTCAGCTCGATAGATGACGAGCCGTTTGTAACCAAATGGCCAGGCTTAGCTAACAAAGAAACAGTCGTTTATACAACCTAAGCTGGTAACAGTAAAAACAGTGATCTGGCATACCTGGTTCTCCTTCGGGTCCTGCTGGTCCTTCCGGTCCTTGCTCACCCTGAGGCCCTTCCAATCCTGGTGGGCCAGTATCACCCGGGGGACCTTCGGGTCCATCTAGACCTGTTGTACAAACGGGAAAATGGTTTTCAGTGCTCGTACGAAACCAATCCAATGCATAAGAATGGCCTGAGAGATCATTAAAACGGTCACACCAAAACCCTGTGACATGTGCGAATACCCTAGCCTGATGTTTAGGAAAAACTTCACATATAGTTTAGGCAGCAAACTCAACGCTTGGTCAATTTTTGTGGGCCGAAACGGCAGTTTTCAAATTGGTACAAACGAAGGAGAGGCCTTATAAACTCCCGTTGACTGGTTTTCGCGGTCAATTAATGCAGAGGTAATTTTTTGGTTTTCAGTCCCCCGTCTATTGCCCAAACCGCAGCAGAAGCTCAACTACTTAAGGTTTTTCTGCTTGTTTTGCAACACGAAACGGTGTTACACGGGTCAGTCAGACGGAACGAAAGATGCACGCACATCATAAATCCATGAACACCAAATTATTTTCGTTTATTTGATCGCCATTCATCTATTCTCCGTCTTGCACCACTGCCAAAATAAGTGAATCGAAGCGGGACTAAACCAATCCCCAGGTTGACTATTAGTCGTAGCGTTGGGTAATTAATTATTTTGCAACGAACCTTCAAACCAAATGGTTGCACCGATTAAATTTTGAGCTAGACAGAAATAGTGGTAAAGAGTAATAAGGCAGTAGCAAATAGTGATTTATATTGCTCACTAAATGCAAGAGAACGCTGCTAAAACTCGCCTAATTGGTTGCTTTGTGAGATAAGGAACGAAAGTATTTGAACGGCTTACAGTGCATGCCTAAACATCCCTAAGCGCATCTCCTTCTGGAAACGCCACCAAACATGCATCAGCCTTAAACAAGATGCTGTTTTCCTGAAGTCAGCAAGCAGAAGAAGCAAGTACCTGGAGCACCTTCGTCACCGGTTTCTCCAACATCGCCGGGAAATCCCTGCAGACCTTGATGACCTGGTTTGCCTAGTTCCGCCAAAACGCCCTCACCCGGTAGACCAGGCTCTCCCACTTCTCCGTATTCTCCTGGTTCGCCAACGTCTCCACGTTCGCCTTCTTCACCAATCGGCCCCCTTGGTCCAGGAGGTCCTGTTGCCCCTGGTTCACCAGCAGCACCTCGGCTACCTGGATCACCCTTAAATGCAATTGTAACAACTGAACTATAAGTCAGCTTAGGTGAGACAAATAAATGTTACCAAGTGCAGTAAAAATTAGGGAAATGATAAATACGCTTGCTAATCTCATGAAAGACAGATGGACAAAGTTGGGTGGTGCACATGGGCTTCTGGAATTCGAAACATATTAGTCACGTGACGAAAAAACAAGTCGATCGAATCACACCTCTGTGTAGTGTAGCAACGCAGTAAACAATTACCCTCTCTCTAAAGAGAAGAGAACCGGAAGGTGCAACAATTTTTCAACAGTGATTCAGTAAAATGGTAAAGCTAGCGGTCACAAAACCAACAGTAAATTTATTAAAGTTAGTAAAGAGTTATATCGACTTAGAAGTACTCAAGAGAGCCATTCACCTCAAGGAAATTATTCTTTGAAAATAAACTTACCAGAGTCATAGAGTAGTCTGGCTCCTCGGCTTCCTAGCATGCCTTCCAGGAATGGCTATTACAATGCCGTAGTTCGTTCCTATTAGTCTAGATAAACCAGTGAAAACCCTTCTGAAAATGGTCAAAATCTGGAACACTATTGACACATCATCCACCGATATCGACGTGTTCTCAAAGGGGTGTTAAATGTTTTCCTATTATTACGTGTTGCAATAGGATGTGTAGTTATCTTGTCACCGATATACAAAGCGCAGTCGAAAACAATCACCACAAAGTAATACACAAAACTACACTCGCAGTGCAACAAAGCCTGCTGATGCACAATCACTCTTTTAGAAGTGACCATAATGACTGAAGTAATAATCACCAGTTTCACTTCTGCTGGTCACTGCACGCGCGGAAGAAAGGGAATAGAGCCTTGAGTAAGACATAAAGTTGGTGAAAACTTGGAAGCCCCGTCTATCTGATCAGTCCCAAAAGGGGTGAAAGCGGTTGTGGGCTGTTAAAGCGTTTTCGGCACCCTAATGTCTCATCAAGGTAAGGCCGTTTTCTATGTGAATGGTAAGAGCATTCGAACGAACAAAGGTGGTTCACAAAGGAAACTACTCACAAGGTTGCTGAAAACTCTTCGACAGCCCACGACCGGTTTCGCCCTTCTTGGGGCTCATCAGGTAGGCGCGGTCCCCGCGTTTCCGTCAACCTTATGACATAATTGAACCCAAATTGCACTGTTTTCGAGAAATACACTCATTTGCAAATCAATTCGGTTTTCACGGGAAACTCAATTGAATCTCTCGTTTATGATGTCCTCCAACTGAATGTGTTGCACACAGGCCGCCTCATGATTCACTTGGCACGATATTCGAGATATCGCAGTATATTCTCGTAAAGGAAACTACTCATAAGGTTGCCTTATGTTCTACTTGAAAATATACTGCGATATCTCGAATATCGTGCCAAGTGAATCATGAGGCGGCCTGTGTGCAACACATTCAGTTGGAGGACATCATAAACGAGAGATTCAATTCAGTCTCCCATGAAAACCGAATTGATTTGCAAATGAGTGTATTTCTCGAATAAAGATGGTTCACCATTTCGAGACATCAGAAAACGGCTTCAAGTTATCGAACTGCAGAACCGGTAGGTACTTCTGAAGGAATTGAAAAGTGTAGCTCCACGGGAGGCAACAATCGTAACCGTACGATTCAGTAGATATAGCAGCCTAAATGTAGTCACTTGCTATCTATGTTTAAGCCAAAAAACCTACAATTTCGGTCACGTCGCAACAAGAAAATGGGGAAAACCCATATGGGATATATATAAAGCTCACAGCCACTACAGCCATCTCGTGAACTTCAGATTTCACTGTAACAAGATTGAATGTTCTGTGGTGAAGCGAGTGAAGTATTCGCCGACACAGTAAACAACCGGGAGGAACGAATGCAGGTTTTTTTGGTGGACTTTTTACCAAGTAATGTGAACGATATGGATGAAACTGGGTTAAATTTTCAGACGACATGATATATAATTTTTGTGTTGGAAGGCAAACAGCGTTTTTGAAAGAAGGCTTTCAAATTTTCGGGATTTATGACTCAGACCTTTCATTGATCATGACGTGAATGCAACATGGTCTGGATTTAAATCATTCAGAACTCTCGCGCACGGCCTTATTATTTAGGTAAGTGATAAACTACTTATCCCTTTGCTCTTTACAATGTGGATTAGGCTTAGGTCCAAACAACTCACGGTTATCAAGCGCTTGGATTTGAATGCACGAAACTTACATCCCACAATTCGAGACATTTTGGCTCATTTGATTGTGAGTCGAATCACAATTCATGTTACTGATTGTTACCTTTATCACAAGTGTAGCGCAGATGGGACACTGGCAGCAAACACCATAGTTCAATTATCTCAGACAGTCAGTGCAGCAGAGATCAGCCAGTCGAGTAAATTCGTACTGACAGATCCATGGAGCGCGTTACGCTCGGCTAGTATGACTCGGATAGTATGAATTACCAGTACATTCGATTTGCCGAAGAATCCGTCCAATAAGCTCATAGGTCGTAAACAGTGTTTAAAAGCTGTGGATGCTCAAAAAGAGGCGGAATATGATGTAAGGACATATCTCTGGACTTTTAAAAGAGGGAATTGTGATTCTTGGAGGTGTGAGAGGCCGTAACGAGGTATGTGATGAGGAATCCTAGGTTTGCGAAAAAAGGCTGTTTACGTACCATATTTCAAGTCTTGTTTAAACCAGTTTATGAACTAGGATGTGTTTCTCGGCATTGGTAATCCCTCACTGCAACAGTGGGTGTATGTCTGTGATGCGGAACCACGTAGATTACAGAACAGAGAACCGAAAATCAGAGGCACCAGGGACGATCATTTGACCATCCGGTTTTCTATGTCGGACGCGGCTTATGGAGTGATCTGGGATAGGTTCCGTGAAGTATTCACTTTTTCTGTGACCGATTTCAGAAGCATTCCTCTGTTGATGATGTGATAATCAATCGTGAGAATAACGAATGATGAAGGTATAACTTTACCACCTCCGTTGGCTTCCAGAATGAGGAACATCCTCTCATGGTCATTAGGTGACGAAAGCTATGGGTATGTTCTGTGGTATTTTGCCTAACGGGCCATCAGGTTATGCGGACACTGGTTTGACTGTCATCCATTCTCCAAGAAATGAAAAATGTCAACCCAGTAATTGTTCTGAAGTTCTAGAGCCGACCACACCTACGTGTGTTATGACCAGGAATGCCTAATG